CCCCCAAAACCCCAAAACCCCAAAACCCCTATATTTGCATATAAAATTGAACTATCAGTTAAAATAAATGAATTCACTAACTAAACGTTACTACTGTCATAGCTGCAAGGCTGAGTTTAGAGAAGAACAAGGAGAAGAGGTTAGATGCAGCCGCTGCTCTAGCATCTTCTGTGAAGAAGCAGACCAGGATTACTGTAAGTCAGAAGTTTAGAGAAATTCTAGAATATTTGGCATGATTAAAAGTTTATTTAGCAGAGGAATCTGAGTGTAAAGATCGAGATGAAATCGAAGCTGAAAGATCCAATCCCTACTCTCAGGGCAAGAGCTTTAACCTTGAAGATGTAATACAAGCTCAACCAGATGGAAATACTCAAAGAGTGATTAGGATAGAGAATAATATGGGAACCGTTACTTTAGATGGAATGTTCAATGGTCTTGCAGACATGCTGGGAGGGGTTCTAGGCAACCAACTTGCTGAGCAAGTGGCTCAAAGATCTATGGATAATGTCGTTGAGCAAATTATGCATAGCGATCCTAATCAAGATGGAGCTCAGCCAGCATCGAAGAAATCTATTGACTCACTATCCAAAGGAAATTATGAGACCTTATCAACTAATATTGAATGACAGGATCTCAAGTTAGTAAGTAAAGAGGGAAAGAGGATATACTTAGAAGAAGCAAAAAATAATTGAAACAGTAACGATTGAAGTGTATGCAAAGAAAAGTTTGATCCAGTTGATTCTGAACTTACCAGAATGCCATGCATGCATATCTTCCACAATGCCTGAATTTTACCATGGCTCGAAAAACATAACTCATGCCCTACCTGCAGATTCGAACTCCCAACATACGACGAAGACTACCAACCCTCCAAAAATTCCAACCCCACACCTCCCTCTACTGGTGAAACAATCATCCAAGACGGTTCTCCAACCGGCGAGAGCAACTCCCCTCCAGCTCCAGCCATCATCAGCACCCACTCATTCAACATCACCCACTCATCCTAACTCTGATTCAATATTCCCCACACAAAAAGGGGTTTTGGGGTTTTGGGGTTTTGGGGTTTTGGGGTTTTGGGG